CAGTGAGCAAATGCTTAAAACCGGCATGAGGGAGGCATTCAGCAACAGCGGTATGACAGGTGCACAGGGAGCCGCTGGTATTTTCGGGGACTGTGCCAAGTGCTGGTGGCATGAAGATGTATAAAGTAGGTGGGCTGGGGAGTGTGGGGGCTGGAGAGGGCAGAGGGCCTGGGAGGAAGCCGGTGGGGTCAAGGAGTGATTTGCCCGGGGCCTTCCAGCCTGTTGGTGGCAGGTGGCCCTTTGCAGAGACGGAGGCAGGACGGGCTGAAGCTAGAAGGACCTGGAATGTCAGGTCTGGGGTGGTTTTTCTAAGAAGTCAGCGGGGAGGGAGGCCGTAGCCTCGGGTGGGGCCTGGTGGGCTTAGTCTGTCCTGTGAGCAACTCAGGATCCAGCGCTTTCACTTTCCCTTTCGATTTTAGAGATATATCTGGGCCCCGAGGATGCTGTGTCTGCTTATTACGCAGACGCACAGCTGGTGACTGGATCCGCGCAGCTGGGAACGTCTGGGTCTGGTTCACACTCAGCCAGAGGGAGACTCCTGGGTAAGCAGACCCCCGTCTCCCCATCCTCAGAACGACTCTCTGAGAAGAGGGTGCTGGTCACTCGCTGATTGTCAGTGTTTTGAGAGAACAAGGAAATGGAATCTGAGGGAGAGGAGGTGAGGGGCCCAGGACCACCAGGTAAGCAGGGCAGAGCCTGGATGTGGAGGCACGTGGCTCTGACGTCTTTCTCCCACCCCTTGTACCCCAAACACAGCAGAGGGCGACAACTGCTCAGGTGGGTGAGACGTGAGTGGTGACCCCGAAGGGAGGTGAATATTGAGGGCTCAGTCCTTGGGGAAATTTGGAGGAAGCAGAGAATGTGGAGGAGAGGGAGTCAGAGTCCTTTGTCTTTGTGGCCAGGCCACAGCGAGGCCACCCCCGGGGCAATGCATAGAGGCTCAGGGGGCCAAAGATTAATTCTGAGATACAAGGAATTAAGGTCTTTCCCCCACCCTGTCTCTGAGGGCCTGCTCAGTGCCCGGGGTTGGGGGGACAGAGGCCTGAGTTGGGAGGACAGGGGACCAAGAAGACAGTCAGCGGGCCTTTGCCTTCCCGGGCGCCCCGGGCGCTCCCTCAGGACTGCGTGAGGTGGGAGCTGTGGGAGGTGGGCTGTGAGGGAAGGAGGCCCGGAGGGAGGAAGGGCGAGGGCCCCTGCACATTCTCACAGCACGTTTCCCGTTTTGCAGTCTTAGGACAGAATTCCCATCTGTAGACTTGTGTCAATGTGAATAATCAGTAAAGGACATATAATAGGAAGAGAAAAGAGTTTTCTTTCAGCCAGACTGAGAACTACTCCACAGAAGGCAGCCTCTCAGGGAGCTCTGAGCAAGCGCTCTGGAGAAGCATGGTTTTCAGCAAAGTTTTACGTCTTGTCTGAACAAAGAATATCAACCAACTCAGACAGACATTCCACCCAGGTTTCACAAAACAGATCAGAGCAGCCCATCCACAGCGAGTCACTGTGCACTTGGTACCTGGGAAGGGAGGCCCATCACCCAGGGAGGACCAGCACGGGCGTCCCAGGGCGGGGGGGCGTTTAATCTTTATCTTTAACATGGACATTCATGCTTCTGCTCAGTGCGCC